TATTCCCTTTTCCACACTCTTTAGTCCAGCCAAGGGGACCTCTCCAAGTTCCTCACACACAGAACCTCTGTGCCCCTCCTCTCTCTTTGCCTTTGCAATGGCTTTCTCCTGTGCCTGGTATATACTCCCTCTTCACTTCTACCCCCATGGACTCTTTCCTTTAAGACACAGCTCAGACACCTACTACGTGAAGTTTTTCCAGAACCTCTTCAACTGCTAGCACCTTCCCTCCTAAAGTACCTCTCAGTGAACAATTTTGTCTCTATTCTCTTTATTTTTCTGTATATACTTACAGATACACTTGTCTCCCCCATTAGAATCAAAGATTATTTCATTCATTGTATCTGTATCACAGCACTTAGCACAGTGCCTGGCACCTAGTAGGTGCTTAATATAGGTTGATTGATTGATTGACTCTGTAGTCAGATGACCTAGACTCACATCCTACCTGTGGTTACTTGCGTTAAGCTTGGACACGTCACTCACCCTCTCTCGGCTTCAGACTCCTGATCTGTAAAATGAAGGGATTGGACTTTATAAATGGCCTCTGCAGTCTTGTCTAGCTCTAAACATGTGATCCTAGCAAGATGAATAACATATCATATTGGAGCTCTGGATCAAGACTGGAGGTGGCATACAGATTCGGGCATCATCTGCATTCGGTCGTAATAATTGAAGCTGTTGGAATATAAGATTTCCCTAATGGAGAAAGATAAGAAGACCAGCAATGTAATGTAAAGCACTTTGTGAACCTTGAAACAGGCTGTAAATGCCAACTATTATCATCCTTTATGTTATAATCTAATAGATCACTTCATGAAGAGCTTGGTTTCAGTCCTCCCACTCGATTTGTGACCTTGGTCAAGTTCCTTAAGATCTTCTGGCCTCAGTTTCCACATCTGTAAAATCAGATGACTTGGATTAAATGATCTTTAAGCACCTTTCCAGACCCTTCCAGGTCTAAGGAGCTGTGCGAATGTCACAGCATGATGCTAAGCATTTTATGTGTAGAGAGTTCAGTGACAAGGGAATATTCTTTGTCAGTAACATCAGTGCTCTGATGTTCATTTCCTTTGGTGATATGGATTATACATTCCCCAGCTGTGGACTAGAACCTGGGTGAGTGTGTGTTTATGATTACGTCTCTAAAACAATATCCAAACTCATCTGAGAGTTTTCAACTCAAATGAGATTTTAAGTTAGAGTTTAAGGAATTCTGCGAAGGGACATTTTTACTCATACTCCCTTTCAGGATCCTTTAGCTTTCTTGCTTCTTATTCTTGAACCAACTACTCACCCTCAATTCCTTTTCTTAGGGGACCTCCCTATTTTGATCTGGTATGTCAGTTTTCCATACCTGGGTCTGTTACTGTAGATGCCCATTCTCTTGTAGCCTCAGAACTGTTCAGGAAGTTATAATAATAATAATAGCTAGCATTTATATAGCATTTAAAGGTTTCCACAGTGCTTTATAAATATTATTACATTTGATCCTCACAACTCACTATCAACTTTTCCAGATAAAGAAATTGGGGAAAAAAGGTTAAATGACTTGCCCAGGATCACACAACTAGTAAATGCCTGAGGTTATATATTTTTTGTTTGTTTGTTTTTTGGTGAGGTGATGGGGTTAAGTGACTTGCCTAGGGTTACACAGCTAGTAAGTATTAAGTGTCTGAGACTGTATTTGAACTCAGGTCCTCCTGACTCCAAGGCCAGAGCTCTATTCACTGTGCCACCTAGCCCCTCCCCCTGAGGTTTTATTTGAACTCCGGTCTTGACTCAAGGCCCAGCACCTGCCATCACCTTCGGAATTGCCCTATCTTCTGTTTGTAGTATTGCTGTAAGACTGACTGCTTTCTGCAATGTTATTTTGCCAAAATTTGTGTTTCTCTAAAACCAGTTTATAATGACTTTAGGTGAAGTATGACTGAACTGCAAGTTACCTTGAAGCCTAGGTTTCCCTGCTCTGCTTTCTGAGTCTAGTGGAAGGAAAGTTAAATCTGTGTGGGGAAATAGGGTCTCTGGGTCTCTGACACCTGCAGCTTTTCCGAGGAGTAGGTGGGAATGAAGGCAGTTGGTCCTGTGCATAAATTGTTCCTAAGACAAGTGTTGGTAAGTAGAGGATTGTCTTGTTTTTTTGTGTTGTGGATTTGTGATTTTACGAGTATTCTCTTCTTTATCATCCTCTGTGATTTTTGTCCTGATCTTCCAATAATCTCTGTGGAGATCTACCAAGCATGATGGAGACTTTCCTCTAGGTCTTAATATTTCATGGGTACAAGGGTGCAGCACGTGAGTTATCCATTTGTTATTCCTTGTCATGTAACTTGTCTACTTCCTTTTTGTAGTATATATTTCTTTGATAGTACCTTTTATGCCACTTCTTGTATGCCAGTCATCACTAATAGAATATAGCCTGCTGAGTACTACTGTTCTTCTCTCCATTGCCCTTTGGATTCTTTGGTGATTCGTGGCATTCTGTGATTGGAAGCTGTATCACATCATTGGTAGTGTCAAAAAATGTATTATCTACATTTTTTCACCCAGTGATATATGGAAATTCAAAAGATTTTTTTTTCCTTTTAAAAATATAGTTATCAATTGGTTTAGCTATCTTAAGAATTCTCAAATTTTAAATTAATTCCCTTTATTCTTTCACCTCAGGAAATGTGATCAGGGTTGATGTGTAATAGGGCAAAAGATGAAAAACAGGATGATTAGAAAACAGTAGAATTAGTATAGACCTGGTATATAGATTTCTTTAGTGGCATTTGTAAAGCAACTATTAAAATTTATTGGAATATTGAGACACAAAAATTAAGTTTTTGTTTTAGGATACAGCAACTTTTATACAAAGGTCTAGAAGACCCAGAACTTTAAGAGTTACCTGGGTTAGAAAACCTCTCCAGGTATAGTTGTATCTGAATGGTTCTTGACCTCCCTGCCTCAGTAGCTTTTTTTTTTTTTATATCCCTGGGTTTGTTCTGATTTTACCAATTAGGAAGTCATGTCTGGGTCCCAAACTTTTGTATATGAATCTTCTCTCTTTTTAATGTCCCATTTAATGTCCCATTGTGAAACAATTTGTACTCATATTACAACTAAAATGTAGTTTTAGAGTAAATGGGATAGGAATTTGTGTTGTATTTTCCATTGGCTAGCATGTGTATAATATGAAATAATTAGAAAAGGTCTTTGATTGTTTGATTCACAACTATTAAGTTTTGAATCCTCAAGTAATTTCCAGTGCATTGCCAACATCGATTACTTGGTTGGAAAGTTTTATGAATGGTTAAAGAAGAAATAGTTTTCATTTTGAAAATGTAGTTGAAAGTTCTAAAACAATTTCATTTTACTCTTATGGAAAACCTTTGAATTGTAAGCTGCTGTAACATGCTTAATTTTTCATTTGTACATCTGTCAAAGGATTTTAGAAATTCAACCAAGTGATCAGCAGAGTCTCCAACTTTATAAATCATCCCTAGTGTTTATATTTATAGTATACTAGATACAACATATGGAAAGTGATTTTCATTTTTTGCTTAAAGAAAACATGATAGTTGCTTCATGCTAGAAAAAGTCTACAAATTAATTTTAAATTACTCAGTTTTTAAGAGAAAAGTTACATTTTATCCAAATATATTTTGTAAAGCTTGGTTTTTTGATGATGTTGAGTTTTCTATTGATATTTATAACCTTTTTGGCTAGGAATGTAATAAGGAAATTCTTAAGTCATTTTCCAATTTTATTTAAGACTGATAAGAATTATAGATTCTTACATATGAGCATGCTTTTTTTTTTATCAAGTTAACTACTACTTTAAAATTCTATAATTTAATACAACTGAGGTGACATTTGCAACAATAATGTAGAACAGAGCAACATTTCTATTTGTAGAGTTAGTTTACCTCTAATAATAATAATCTTTTCTGGATGAAATCTGGTACACAAAGCACTTTATAGAGACTCTCTTAACATTATTAACATTCTACAAAATAAAGTGCTATAAATATCAAAATATATCACATTAACTTATGCTGTTAATGAACTCTTTTATGAGCAAATTTATCTTGAAATTAATGTGATACTAAGTGAATACAAAGCAGCTAACAGGACAGTGTCTTTAAATTTGGCCTTTGTTTTTTCTGGCAACTAGGCATAATTGCTATTTCATTTCAGTTAGATTTGTAGCATGATTTTTGAATTGTCGTTTTAATGCATTTCTGGTCACAATTTTAAAACATTACGAGACAAGAATTTCTTTTTGAAAATTTTATGTAAACTTTTGCTGCTTGTAATAAATTTGTAACTGTTAGTGTGGTTGGGGAATGTCATCATTTATTTGTAGCTGACTTGATTTATTCGTGTAGTCAAAAATTACATTTTGAATTCTTTTCAGAATTGCTATTGAGTGCTCATTTTTTCATGCCAGTTATGTGCATGTGAACTCCCCAAATTCCTGTGGGCCAGACCATTCACGTGTAAGAGCTAGGTTTCCTGCCAAGTTGTTAGTACAAACTTTTCCCCCCTGAATTTACTTTTTCAGATAAACCATTTAAAACAGGTGTGGTTGAGATTCTACATTACACAAATAGCATTTGGTATATTCATGATTTTTAAAAAGGAGAAAGAAGGAAATAAAGAATGGTATCCAAGAAAATTTATTGCTGGCAGCTCAGCCATAAATCTTTGTGGATAATATGTTATTGTATAGTACAGTAGCCTCTTACATATTTGTAAAATAGTACTAATAGAAATAAACTAAATCTTGTTGTTCACAGTCCCCAAAAGGCAGAAACTTAAAGTTTATTTTAAAAACCTTGGTAAGTTATTTGACTAAAATCCTTATATATGAGGGAGTAATGATCTAAAATACTGCAACTGAAATCATGCTTAATTAAAACATTTAATGGTAAAAATAACTTACATTCTACAGTATAAATTTTGTACAGTGCTTCTGTAATTTGAGTTACTGAGAATTTTCATGTTTATTCTAGCCGTCAGAACCAGTTGAAAGGCCAGCAGCAGCAGCAGGTGGTACCCTTGTACCCTGATGAGGCAGAAGGTCTGACAGTTCCAAGGTATAAGCGAGACCTGGTACAGAAGCTAAAAATTTTACGACAGGAACTTTCTCAGCAGCAGCCTCAAGCTGGCCACTGTCGCATTGAAGTCTCCAGAGAGGAAATTTTTGAGGTAATCTGAATGAAGAGTGATCTTTTAGAATTTAGAAAAACTAAAGGAGAATATTCCCCCACTCAGTGTTCCATTGGCTATTAGAATTCCTTCTATTTTCTAGTAATAGAATATTGTTCATTTTTATTATGAGTAAAGAATAGTATAATGGAACCAATTTCACCAGTATTTTGAATGTATTTACCAAATATTTCTTGCCCACATGTGCTTAGTCTATGTTTGCAATAGTTCAACTTTATTATGTGTCATCTTTAAATTTGTTTACAGCTAAATGCTCAAAAGATAAAAAGACCTGTTGTACCTGAATATTATGCTCTTCTAAGAAGCAAGAATCTTTAAAAGAAAAAGTCTGTTAAAATTTTTAACTTTTTGCTTAAGAATCTTTATATGATTACATCAAACATAAAAGATCAGATAGAGGGGATATAAACAGTCTCCTTCCAGTTTTATGACAGCCACATTTATTATAAATGAATACCAGTCTTAATGCTGGTAGCTTATTTCTGTTTTGTTTGTAAAATTTTGTCATATAATGTCTTTTCTTTATCCATTGTTTTGTTGTTGGGTAAACAAAATCTCAACTTAAACAAACTACTATGCTGCCTTTAAAAAAAATTTGTCTGGGTAAAATAAAAAAAAAGTGAAAAAAATTCAGTGAGAGAAAGGGATACCATTAATATCTATGCAGCATCTCTACCATACTTATTTTCATAATTTCATCACCTTTTAGTATATAATTTTATTGCTAAAAGGGGAGGGCAAAAAAGATGAAAAGGAATTTTCTTATCTTTTTCATATATTGTGAACTTTGGGAGCCATAGTACCTGCCTGTGCTTCATTTCCCCCTCCAGAAAAGTGGGGGGAGTGCTACATGGTAGCTTTTTCACATTAACAGTCTTCTTGATATTTTTGATGGTTTTCATTACTCACTAGATATACCTATATAGCTAGCTCTCTCTGTCTTTATATTTCTGTACTTGTAGTGCTATCTCTATTTCTTTCTCTTCCTCTTCTCCCTACCACTGTCTGTCCATCCTGTCTCTCTCTGTCTCTGCACACATGCTCACACACACATGTATTTGTATGTCTGTATATAATTTATATATGTATAGTAATGGCAATTTGAAGGGCATTTGCTGAAAGGTCTTATGTGTGGCTAGACTGAGTCAGGCAGACAGATGGAATCTTTCTTTGCCTTTTGATGCTATTTGGAAGGAATCAGGTTTTTCTCTTCTATAGCAGCTACCTCTCTCTAATCTTACATTACTAGATAAGGCCAAGGATTAAGCAGTAACACACATTACCTAAAATAATTTCAAACAAAATCCTATTATATATAAATGGTCATTATATGTAGATGGTATAGAGATGGTACATAATTGAAAAACATTTATATCATCATATGTATACATATGTATACATATTTATATGATATGATATATTATATAATATAATATATGTGATATATGATATATAATATATAATATAATTATATCATACACATATGTATACATGTGTATACATATAATTTAATATAATATAATATACAAATAATATAATTTATATTTATATGATAATCAGGGCAGCTAGGTGGTACAGTGGATAGAGTGATGGGCTCGAGTCAGAAAGACTCTTCTTCATGAGCTCAGATCTGGCCTCAGACACTTACTAGCTGTGTGACCCTGGGCAAGTCACTTCACCCTGTTTGCCTCAATTTCCTCATCTGTCAAATCAGCTGGAGAAGGAAATGGCAAACCATTCCAGTATCTTTCCAAGAAAACCCCAAATGAGGTCACGAAGAGTCAGATACGAAAACCAACTCAACAACAAAACATGATGACCATTTATATATTATCATTATATATGATATATTTATATCTATATATAATGACCACTGTCACTTCCAGTTACCATTGCTATCAAATTTTGAGACTGGTAGAATGGTACTCTATTTTTGAGAAGGTTCATTGTCTTGTTCAGAAAAGTTTTTTGAGGGAGAAATCTTGAGGGAGAAAGTGGTAAAAGGCCTACCTTGAAGTGGTAGCTACCTTGAGATTTTCAAGACTATTTCATTTGATTAGGAATGGAGGAACTTGGTGCTGAGGTGTTATTACCTCCTCAAAATTGGACTTGGGTGGATTATGTGAACAAATAAAAGAATTGGTTATAATTTTGGGGAAAGCAATTCATTCTTTTTTGTTTTCCTTTAGTTCTTTTGGTGTTCACACTAATTCCTCTGGATCTATTTCTATGTCAGTAAATAAGGAGCTTGGAATAGAATATTCTAAAGTTTTTTCCAGCTCATCCTTTTATGCTGCCTATATAATAATTCTATGTGTCCTCTTAAAGAAGAACTTGGTTAGAAACTTAGTATGAACTACAATCTTTACACACTTTTGATACATAATAATGTAGTGAATATGTCCCTTTGCGTGACATGTCATGGGTAAATCTTAGATTAGGAAAGATTTTTGAAGTCATTTCTCCCTGAATCCAATTTGATTTTTTTTTTTACGATTAGAAAAGAGAAAACACATGTATATGTTTTCCTCATTTCTCCAGATTAGAAGCCATAGTTAAATTGCTCTGTTTTCTAAGAAACTTGGATCTTTTCCCTTTAAATAGAGATTGACAATTAGCTCAAATAATTTATTGATTATAATGATCAATAGAATGTAATTTTTAATAGCTGTTGGTTATAATAAAAGTGAAATTATTTCAGGAATCATACAGACAAGTCATGAAAATGAGACCAAAAGATCTGTGGAAACGATTAATGATAAAATTTCGTGGCGAAGAAGGCCTTGATTATGGAGGGGTTGCAAGGTGAGGAATTTGTTGTTGTTGCTGTTCAGTTGTTTCATTTGTGTCCAACTCTTCCTGATCCCATTGGGGGTTTTCTTGGCAGAGATACTGGAGTAGTTTTCTTGTCCAGCTCATTTTACAAATGAGGAAACTGAGGCAAACAGGGTTAAATGACTTGTCCAGGGTCACACAACTAGTGTCCCAGGTCAGATTTTAACTGAGGTCTTCTTGTGTACAAGCCTGGCACTCTATCCACTGTGCCACCTACCTGCTCAGGTGAGGAATTACCTATTATTTAATAACACCAGAATGCTAACATGTATGGATGCAGTTTTATGATGTTTTGATACCATAGCTTTTTTCTATAATTTTACAGTTTGATATTCTCAAAATTAATTCAGATCAGAAAGTTTATATTGTGACATTTAATTGTCTTTCTAATACAATAGTTAGCAGCCTGTACAGTGCAGAAAGACCCCTACAGGATCCACTATGAGGATACTTGGATTTCAATCTTGGATTTTGTCACTTAACTAGCTGTGTTAACTTGGGCAAATTATTTCACCTCTTTGGGTCTCACTGTCCTCATTTGTAAAATTAGGAAATTAGACTACTTATTTGCCAAGATTCTATATCCTAAGCCTAAACAAATGATGCTTTCCCTCACACCTGACCTCTTCCTCAGTTGACTATTACTCAGCCCTCTATACTTTCCTTCTCTTCCATTCTCACCTTTTACCCCAAATTAAATGTGACTCTATTCTCCCTAAGAATCTGCTCCAGAAATAAGTTATGTTAAACAGTAATTATTTCTTAAAGTTTTTTCTTATCTGCATATATGAAGGAGAGGTGGGGAGCATAACTCAACTCCAGACCACTGTTTCATGTGGTTTTCATTTTGTTCTGATAAGCCCACGTTCCATATCTGTTAATTCAGCCCATGGAGTTTCTAGGACTATTACTGTTGGTTTTTCCTGCCTGGAGATTGTTTCTTGATAGAACCATCATACTTTTGCACATATTCTTGGATTCTCCTTACCTCTTAGTTTGCAAATAGATGGTTTCTATAGCTGCTGATTTTAGAGTGAGGCTGATTTGAGCAGAATGAGTATAGTACTCTAGAGTTCCCTAGTTTACCAATAACAGTGAGGCTTCTTGGTGAATCTTACTCACCTAAGGCTGCATCCTTCATTTTGAAAGGAACAATTAACCTTTTTACTTGGAGGGATGAGTAAAACAAAATGGGGTGTGTATGCATTACTTTTTTAGACTGTGTGCAGGTGACTTCATTGTATGACCTATTCTATTTATGTACTTTGTTCATTGTAATAGGAATCTATGACTTTACTCCATGATAATTGGTATTTTGAAAACCACAGAAAACATCGGGTTGCTTAGAATTTCTTTTAAAAATAAAACAAAAAACCACCACCAAAATAAAATAGGAAAACCATACTTAAAAATTTGCTTTTCCCAGAAATATTGTCATGTAGCATATAGTTATCAAAGAAATGACCTTAGAATAGCTTAATTTACATGACTTACTTAGCCTAATGTTGCTCTGTGTGTGTGTGTGTGTGTGTGTGTGTGTGTGTGTGTGTGTGTGTGTGCGCCTTTATTTTTGGGTCAAAATTGTGTCTATAGTTAAAGTATCACTTTTGATGAAAATCATCAGTAATCTGAAAATATGCTTCTTGACTTGTCCTTGATATAAGGTCATTCAATTAGAGGCAGTGAGTGACAAAGCAGAATCACAATTCAGGTTTCTTGACTCTTGATATTTTATTGTACTATTTTGTTGAAGAGAGTGTTCTATCATAATGTATGGAAAGTTTTGGAAAAATACAAAATTTTATGTTTATGGTGATGGTACTTCTTCTGATATAACACTTGCTGTTAAGATGTGATTAGGTAGAAGACTACCAAATGTTATGTTATACACACACACACACACACACACACACACACACACAATTTAACTCACAACATTTGTTCTGTGTTGAAAATGGGAAAAAAAAAGTGTTTTATGTGAATCATGCAGTGTAAGCCCTTACTATACTTGGTAGGAGTGATGAAAGTTATGAGGAAAGTATGAAATATTTTGACTAGGATTATGCCTTCCTTTAAATTTATATAGCATTCATTGCAGAGTTGTTTAGCAATGGAAAAATAATAGCTGAAAGTAATAAATACAGTCAGAATACTGAGCTGCGATACTAAATAAATGTATGGTATTTTCAGGTACACCATATAGTTGTTTAGTTTCAGTTTTCCCAGATGTAAAATGGGACAGTAATAATACCTACCTTACAGGATTGTTGTTTGGATCAAATGAGATAATATTTGTAAAGTGCTTAGTGCAATGCTTGGCGAATAGTAGGTACTATATAAATGTTGTTGTTATCATTATGATTATTTTATTCTGAAATACACATTTGGGGAAAACTTCCCAGAAGTAATGAAAATGAAATAGTACTTTAAATTCAAGAAATTTATCATACATAGTAGGCTGTCTAAAAATCTGACCTTATGTTAACCTCATTTGGAGCTTTATTTCATTTTATTCCCTTTGAATTTCCACAGCTAACAGATAGTATGTCTGTATTCACTCTTTAAAAGGCGTTTGTTTATTAGACAGTTAATTATGTGTTGTCTTTTTAGGGAATGGTTATATCTCTTGTCTCATGAAATGCTGAATCCATATTATGGCCTCTTCCAGTACTCGAGAGATGACATCTATACATTGCAAATCAATCCAGATTCTGCAGTTAATCCGGTATGATTATATGAATTCATTGATGATAAATGCTTTTGTATAGAGGTTCCTTGGCACATATATAAATTTCACTTGTTTAATACAATATAATTTTTAGTAAAACTATATGCAATGTATGTTTCAGGTTAAAGTTAGTGGCCAGTTCTATAAAAGGCCAGGGTATTATAGGAAGAAATTTTTCAGCATTTCTGAATTTTTGTCCCCAAGTTGTGTAGCTGTGTTCTTCATCTCCCATCATTCTCTGCAGTTCTTTGGGCTGTGGAAATTTGTTCTTTCCTGGACACTTCCTGACTTTACATTCTAGCTTCCATATTTTAATTTTCCTCTTTTACATGATATTTTTTACATTTCAAAATAAAGTTTGACTGTAATATCATTCTCCAGTATTATTGTTGTTATATGTTTACAGTCAAGAACAAGGGGTGACTGACAGTGTCAGAGACAGCAGAGGAGTCAAGAAGGATAAAAATTGCAGAAAGGCCCTTGGATTTGGCAATTAAGAGATTATTGGTAACTTCAGAGAGAGTAATTCCAGTTAAATGATGAAGTCAGAAAGTAGACTGCAAAAATTTAAGAAGAAAGTGAGAGGAAAGGAAGTGGAGACTTCAATTTTAGACAGCCTTCCCAAGGAGTTAAGCTACAAAAGAGAGGAGAAATATAGGATGATGGCTAACAGGGATGGATAATCAAATCACTGAGGATGATAGTGGGAGATCATGTAAAGAAGAATATGGTTCGAAAGGCTTAAGATGATGCTGTTAATCACCCTCTTTTCCTTGATATTCTCTTCTCTCTAGCTTTTCATGACACTGTTCTCTCCTGGTTCTCTTCTTCCTGTGTGACAGCTCCTTCTCAGTCTCTTTTTCTGGATCTTCATTCTGATCATGGTCACTATCTGTGGGTGTCCCCAAGGCTCTGTCCTGGGCACATTTCTCCTTGTATAGTATTTCGCTTGGTAATTTTATCACTTTCCATGAATTCGTTTATCATCTCTATGCAGATGATTTGCAGACATATTTGTCCTGCCCTAACCTCTTTCCTGACATCTAGTCTTCAACTGTCTATTGTCTATTTCAAACTGGATGTCCTAGACTGGGAGCCAAGATGGTGGAGTAAAGGCATGTCTGTGCTCTCCCAAATTCCTTTCCAAACAATTTTAAAGTAACCTCTCAAAACAAATTCTGGAGCAGCAGAACCAGCAAAAGGACATAGTGAAACAATTTCCTAGCTCAAGACAGCTTAGAAAATCTGCAGGAAAAGTCTGTCTCACTGGGGTGAGAATAGAGGACAGTCTAGCACAGGACACACCTGGCAAGCCAGCAGCAGGCCTTGAGGTCAACTGAACCAGCAGTGGCAGCAGCTTCAGGAGCTTTTAGCCCACAGACAGTAAGGGGTTCAGACAAGAAAAATCAAAATACAAACTCAGAAGAAGACAACAATGTCAAAACAGCTATATGCAAAGCCTCAAAGAAAAATGTGAATTGATCTCATTACCACAAATTCCTGGAAGATCGCAAAAAAGATTTTAAAAATTACATAAGAGGAAAAAATTGAGAAAGAAAATGACAGTAATGCAAGAAAATCATGAAAAAAGTCAACAGTGTGGTTAAAGGAGGTTTAAAAATACTGAAAAAAATAATAATACTGAAGAAAAAAAGAATAGGCCAAATGGTAAAAGACGCACAAAGGATGGAAAAGAATTGGAAATTGAGGGGATGCCCATCGATTAGGAAATGACTAAACAAGTTGTGGTATATGAATGTAGTGGAATACTATCGTGCTATAAGAAATGACAGGCAGATGTTAGAAAAACCTGGAAAGACTTATGTGAACTGATGCAAAGTAAAGTTACGTAGTAACAACAACATTGTATCATGATCAGCTATGATTGACTTAGCTCTTAGCAATACAGTGATCCAAGGCAGTTCTAAAAGACTCATGGAAAATACTATCCACATCCAGAGAAAGAACTGATGGAATCTGAGTGCAGATCTAAGCATACTATTTTCATTTTCTTTATTTTTTTGTGTGTAGTTTTTTCCTTTTGCAAATTGTTTCTTTCACAATATGACTAATATGGACATACGTTTTACATGATGGTACATATATAACCTAAGTAAATTGCTTACTGTTTTAGGGTAATTACTGTCTTAGGGTAAAATACTTAGAATTCTATTTTAAAAAAAGAAAAATGTTCTCAAAACTTTGGCCCCTGTTAAAAATCAAAGCTATCATGTAGGCATTTAATACATTTTTAGTTGGGTGGACGGAGGCAGAGGCACAAAAATCCAATAAAGAAAAGAATACTGTATAAAGCTGAATTGGCCAAAGGGAAGAGAAGGTACAAAAGCTCACTGAAGAAAATTATTCCTTAAAAATTAGAATTGGGGAAGTGGAAGACAGTGACTTCATGAGACATCAAGAAACAATAAAACACAATCAAAAGAATGAAAAAATAAAAGAAAATGTGACATATCTCATGGCAAACTGGATGTCCTGTCCTTAGGCATCTTAAACTCAAAATTTCCAAAACTGAATTCTTTATTTTTCCATTCAAATCCTCCCCTTCTTCTGACTTTGCTGTTACTTTTGAGGGGTCCACCATCTTCCCCGTCCTCTAGGCTCACTCTCATATCTCCCCATATCCAATCATTTGCAAAATCTTGTCCTTTCTACTTTCAGAACATCTTTCAGAACATTGAGTCCTAGGGGGTCATAGGAACAGCCTCAATTTTAAGAGGATGATTTATTTTAGATAGAATTCATGGCTGGCCTTCAATTTTTGACAAATACCTGGAAGGGTGGTAGGTTAATGGTCCAGGATTGATATTTAGGAGGGAAGAGGAATTGGATCCTTTGGAGTAGAGCTCTTCTGAAAGTTGCCCAATGGGTGTGTGTTATCTTCAGATTTTGTTTATGCCAGGAGTTTGGGGAAGGCTGAGGAAAGGTGTAAAATTGTTTTAGGATAAAGGAGAATAGTATTTCTCTAGGATAAGAGTGAAAGGCAATAGATGAGAAGTGAATGGGACAGGAAAAGCCCAGTGGTGGGGTAGAGGAAGGTGGATTGAGTGTAAACGTTGACGTTTTGTAGCAGCATAAATTTGGAAACGTTGTTACACTCTTTTGAAAGAGGACCTCTGGGTTTCCTAGCACTTTGGGGTATATTTATAGAATTTAAAGTATATAGAATTAATTATTTGTCCTTAGCTACCTAGAAAATCGATTCCAGATCTAAAATTAAAATTCAGGTAAATTGTACTAAATAAATAAATTGTATTAGCAACTGACTACTTGAATGGCTGAAAGATAAAACAGAAATTTGAAAGCTATAATCTTGTGAAATTGTTATTTTTTAAAATCTTGCTTAGTGACCTATTTGTTACTTAAATATAAACTTCTAAATTTCAGGAACATTTATCATATTTCCACTTTGTTGGGCGGATAATGGGGATGGCTGTATTTCATGGACATTACATTGATGGTGGTTTCACATTGCCTTTTTATAAACAATTGCTTGGAAAGTCAATTAATTTGGATGACATGGAGTTGGTTGATCCAGATCTTCACAACAGCTTAGTCTGGATACTGTATGTATTGACCCTGAATTGTTCACTATGGCAGAAATTTAAGTTCATAAAATTGATACTGGTCATAGGTAGAGATAGATTAGATTTAAAAGAATAAACTAGGAGTTTTGTTACTGCTTTCAACAAAATGTATTAATGAACTGATAGCTTTTAAAAGGAATGATTGAATGAATTAGTCCCACTTTGAAAGAAGTTGTTAGTAAGTTTTGTAAAATATTCTAACACATTCCTATATTTTATGGAATTAATATTTCTCATTCTGTATATTTAAGGACTCCGTAGGTGCCATGATAATAGTTTGTGTTTGTTTTTTTTTTTTAATTTCAGACGGATCCTAGCTGGTGCATAGTTTTATGTATTTGAAATTCCTTTTTATGCAGTATCCAAATCTTTTATCTCTAAGTGCAGAGTAAGGTCACCTTTTTTTAAGCTAATCTAATTTAGTAGACAAGCACCTCTGAAGTATTTCCATTTGAAAAATCCTTTAAGTGTTTGTTTCAGTGTATACTGTATAATCATATTGTTTCATTGGACAATCTAGAAAGTGAAAACAAAATGTTATGTATTTGTGAAGATTAATTTTCTTTATGATTGCTCTGCCTAAGAACTATTTGAGATAATAACAAAATTAGTGGATAACAGGATTAGTTATTTAAATAACTCAAATGATTTATTTATCATAAAAGAGAATTCTGATTCAAGAATACAGTATTATCTCTTCTTTGGTTTTTGTCAGTCTAGGCTGTTTGTGTATCTGTGCTATATGTGTTTCAGATTTTCCAATTATGTGCTTGCTTTTTTTTTCCCCCCTTTCTAGTGAGAATGACATTACAGGTGTCTTGGATCATACCTTTTGTGTTGAACACAATGCTTATGGTGAAATTATACAACATGAACTTAAACCAAATGGCAAAAGCATCTCAGTTACAGAAGACAATAAAAAAGAATACGTCAGGTGAATACTTTTTTGTTCTTCAGGCAGCAGTACTGTCTGATTATTTTTTGAAAACTGCTTATTTAGCATAGATCTAAGCTTTAATATAAAACATTGATCTAAGCTTTAATATAAAAACACGTGCTGTTTCAGTGATGCTAACTAAAGATCATGAATTATGAAATCTGTTAGGGTATAAGTGCGAGAAATATTTTTCAGAATTTTAGAAAATACTGAGTAAGAATTAGAATGTTGAGATACAGTCCTTAATTAATGTGAGTTTGAATCTAATATAATTAAGACTTCACAGAATCACAGAGTTGGAAGGTATCTCAGGGACCAGATAAACCTGAACCTGAAAAATAATCCTCTTCTTACTGTACACAACAAATGGTCATCCATTCATCCATTTTGACTTGTAGACTTCCACCAAAGAGGAACCTACTACCTTCTAAGGCAGCCCATTCCACTTTTGGATAGTTCTAATTTCCTTATATTCAGCCTATTTTAGTCATCACAACTTCCATTTATTGCTCCTAGGACCATATACCCCTGACTATACTGTGACTTCTAAGAGTGTATCATCAGCAAAAGCTCACACAGAGTTGGTACTGGATAAATGTTTGGCAAATTGAATTGAGCAAATTGTATTCTCTCGCTTATATTTGTTTGTCTCTCAAATTGATCTTTGCTTAGTCTAGGACAGAGGTGGGGAACCTTCAGCCTTGAAGTCACATGTGGCCCTCTAGGCCTTTTAACTGAGTCCAGGATTTGTTCTGTGAAGTTTGGATTCAGTCAGAGGGCCGCACTTGAGGACCTGGAGGGCCACATGTGGCCTCAAGGCCACAGGTTCCCCATTCATGGGCTAGGATTTTTAAACAATTGTTTCAATCAACTTAAGCGTTTATTATTCAACTCTTGTGTGCTCGCTACTCTAGTAGGTGCTAGAAATACCCTTGCCCCACTCTCCCCCCTAAAAAAGGTGAAATGGTTCTTGCCCTCAAGTCCAATTAGGGAGCAACAACATATATATATATGTACACACACACACACACACACAAAATGATTTTGGGGTGAAGGTACACTAGCTGCTGGGGGATCAGGGAAGGCTTCATGTAGAAGGTGGTCCTTGAACTGAGCCTTGAAGGAAACTAGGGATTGTGAGATAATGAAGTGAGGAGGAAATTCATTCCAGGCATAAAAGATACTTATGTATTTGAATGTGTATCAGGAACTGTGCTAAGCACAAGGAATACAAAGAAAAGTAAAAAAAACCCAAAAAACCACAGTTTCTGATCTCAAGGATACTGCAACCTAATAATGAAGAATATAAGATATATACAGTATATATAAGAGATTGGGGGTTCTTAATTTTTTTTGTCAGTCTGGTGAAATCTATGGGCCCCTTCTCATAAAAATGTTTTTATGTGTGTAAGATAAAGTACAAAGGAAAGCAATTATATTGAAATATATTTATCAAAATGTTTTAAAAACAAGGTTATGTTACCCAGATTGAGAACCCCTGGTATAGATGGAAGGTAATCCTGGAACCAGGGAAGGGAGAGAGGGAGAAGGGTTTGGTAATGGGGAAAACCTCCTGCAGAAGGTGGAAGGAGGCCAGGGAACCTAGCAGTCAGATGAAGGAGAGCATTCCAGCCCGGGGTGGGGGGGGTGGGAGGCAGCCAGTACTAATGCTCAGAATAAAAGATGCCTATGTGAGAAGAATAGTTAGTAGGACAGTGCAGCTGTATTGTTGAGTGTATGGAAGGGAATATAGTGTAAGAAGATTGGAAAGATAGGAAGAGGGGCCAGGTTGTGAATAACTTTAAATGTCAAGCAGAGGACTTTATATTTGATCCTGTAATAGGAAACAGTGGAGTTTATTGAGTGAGCATTTAAGTGATAAAACTTGTCCTTTACAAAAATCTAGCTGTCTAGAAGATAAATTGGAATCAGGAGAGGGTTGAGGTTGGGAAACCAATTAGGACATCATTGCAATAGTCCAGGCAAGAGATGATGAGAACCTAAACTAAAGTGGTGAGAAAAGCATGGATGCAAGAGATGTAGGGTGAAGGAGAATGAAGAGTCAAAAATAATGCAGAGGTTAAAAATTTGGGAGGCTAGAAGGATGGTGGTACTTAGAAATGAATTTGGAAGAGGGTATAGTGTAGGGAGGAAGAAAATAAGATCTGTTTTGGGCATATTGAATTCCTTCTCATCTCCTTCCACCCTTATGTATTTCACAAATAAGGAAACTGAGACCCAGAGAGGTTAAGTAACTTGCCCAAGGTCACAAAGGAAATAAGTTACGAGTTTGAAAATAATAGAAATTTATCCCTCCTGAAAGATTTGAATAGAATATACATGAGGAAGGTCATGGTTGTAGGAACAGGCATGCTAACCTGATGTGCAAAATTTTGTATAAAAGTTTTTGCTTGGTCAAAACTTTATTTGAAAGGGAGGGCTAAAACAAAGGGAATGATTTTCAGCAACTTTGAATAATACAGTTATTTCTCTGATTTTGACCTAAATATTTCAGGGTTTTGCCAGGTTTAAAGACCTAAGTAGTTTAGAAAAACAAACTGTTGGGATCCAACTGTCTAAGATGTCTGTCTGAACAGAGACAAACAGCACTGGTCACATAGACTTTTTCCAGCAATACCTCAAAATTATATACTACATCAGATGATGATCTAGGAAACCAGTGAAAAACTGTAGGAAGTGATTTCTTCCATATCAGAACTGCCTAAAAAGTCATTCAAAAGCCCATGGACAATAAGAAAGGGGACCTGCCATTGAAGTCAGTGCCTATACTCAGGTAAACAGTGCCTATGCTCAAGAAGCTTCCCTGAGACTAGGCAGAGACACATATCAAGACTCTATCCTGAGGCAATAAACATAGCAGTGCTAGGGTATGTTCAAGAACCTATACCATGGATTTTAGAGGCCATTGGGAGAGGTAGTAACCAGTTTAATGTGCCTGTGGTTGTTGCAAGCACTCAGAGAGGGAAATCCCAGGTCCATGGACTCTGAGTTCTGTCTTGAAACTACATAGAAGTCTCTGGATATGCAGCATTTTGAACCTCAGAGATCCAGGGTATGTTCGTAGAAGAACTCAGGTGACCTAGCAAAGGTAACCATCTGACCCCAAAGAACAGCAGGAAGGTAGAGCCTGGCCCTATCATAAAATCCCAATTTAGAAACTAAGGCTGGAGAGATAAACAAACACAAAATCCAAACCACAATAAAGAAAAAACACATTATGTAGAGACACCCCAAAATCCAACCTCGAAGTGCCATAGCAATTGCAAGCAGAGAATGAAAGAGAAAATGGATTTTCCACAAGTCCTGTGTGAATACCTAGAAGAAATAAAGCAAGAGATTAAAAAATGATTATTTAAAAAAAAAAACTTTAGAAGCAAGAATTTGTAGGAGATTTAGTTTAGAACCAATATTGGTAAACTTTAGCCAAGCAATAGACTCCCTAAAAATTAGAATAGGTCAAGGCTCCATGAATTAGCTAGAAAATATTAGAGTAAAATCAAAAGATTTTAACCTGGAACACAAGTCAAGGAGAGATGATTTAAGTAGACTCCCTGAAAACCGTAATAAAATCTTGTTCAGGAAATCGTAGATGGAAACCATAGGGCAAAGTGAAAATGGAATTACCTCTTGAAAGAAACCCTTGAAGGAAAAGTCTCAGGATTGTCATGGCCAAAATCCATAGCTTAAAGAAAAAAATAGTGTTAACAGCCATAAAAAGAGATGAAGGATCAAGGAACTACAGTTGGGATCACATAGGATCTAGTAGCTTCTGCTAAAAACCAGAGATCTTAGAATATGATATTCCAAAAGACATATAAACCCAAGAATACCTTACTTTGCAAAGCTGAATATAATCATACAGAGTAAAACATGGGCCTTTAATAAGTAGTAGAGGGCTTGCAAGCATTCCTGTTGAAAAATCTAGAGCTGACTTTTTGTGGTGGCAAAGAATTGGAAATTGAAGGGATGTCCATCAGTTAGGGAATGGCTGAACAAGTTGTGGTATATGATTATGATGGAATACTGTTGTGCTATAAGAAATAAAAAGCAGAATGCTCTCAAAAAAACATGGGAAGACTTACATGAACAAATGAGCAAAGTGAAATGAGCAAAACCAGGAGAACACTATATATATAGTAACAGCAATATTGTATGATGATCAATTGTGGATGACTTAGCTGTTCTCAGCATTCTAATATTCAGGACATATCTGAAGGAAATATGATGAAAAATGCTGTCCACATGAAAAGAAAGAACTGATGGAGTGTGATTTCAGATTGAAGCAGTTTTTTCGCTTTCTTTTTCTTGTTTTATTTAAAAAAAATTTTTTTTTTACAATATGGCTAATATGGAAATGTTTTGCATGATTTCACATGTATAATTTATATCGCATTTCTTGCCTTCTGAATAGGTGGGGAAAGTATGAAAAGAAGGGAGACAATTCAGAACTCAAAAATTTATTTGAAAAAAAGAATGTTAAAAATTAAAACAGTTTAAAAGAAAAACAAAAAGAAAAATCTAGAACTGAGTAGGAACTTTGAAATGCAAACAAGAGTCACTAGAAACCTAGAAATGTAAACTTTTTTGAACAGATGCAGGGAGCTATAAGATGATGAAATGCTAACATTCTGTTAGGTGAAGAAACAAGTAGGGTAGCAATGATGATGCTCCCTAAAAAAAGAAAATAAGCGGTCCATTGAAATATTTTTTAAAATGCAGAGAACAGAAGGAAATTCAGAAAGAAATCTAGAGAAGCAGGACAATTTTGAAAGTAACATGTTGGATTTTTTTAAAAAAGCAAGTAGTATGGAAAAGAAATGCAGTTTCTTGTGCAGTCCTCTTTTTGTGTTCTACTTCATATATAGAAGTGCTCATATATTTATGGTGGTTCTGAAGTTCATGATAATTTTTTTTTAAATTGTATGTGTGTGTGTGTATAAATTACTACCTACCAACTTTTGCCCACCAAAATAGAAGCCCTCTCTTGTAAAAAATTGGGTATTATCAAGTAAAATAAATCAATACATTGATGACATCTGAGGCCAAATGTCTCTTTCTACAGTTCTGGTTGGTTCATAAGAATTATTTAATTTGTTGTATTTGTATCTTTAGTACCTAGCACAGAGTAGGTACTTGATAAGTAAATATTTGTTGAGTAACCACCCCTCTGTCAAGAGGTGAGAAGTACATTTTATCATTGATCTTCCGAAGTCTTGATTTGATTAAGTTCTTATTGAAAAAAGAAACTTTAAAATTTGTGGATTATGAGAGGTAAGTAGGTGGTGAAAATCATGTTATAGAAATGGTACAATTGACATTTGGTCACTGAATCACTGGTATCACATTTTGAAGAGGTTTCTAAAACTGCCAAATAACAATCAATTAGAAAAATACGAGCTGCTCGAAACAGTGACTAAATATTTCCTCCCAATTTCTCAGACTCACAAGTGTCAAGTATTTTAAAACAAATAAATCTCATCTATAAGATTTTAAAGAATGAAATTAAATGAAAAGTTATTGCTTTTATTTTAAGGGGGTCTTTGCAATTATTTAGGGTCATTATTGTGGAATACCTTGTAATCCAGCATTTAAGTTTGATGAAAAGTATATTTGCTACCATTTTCTTAAAATATATTAATCATAAAGCAAAGTACTTGCATTTAGGGTATTTAATTTGGATGCAAGACCTACTTGAAATCAAGCAACCTTTTATCTTTAAGTCAGAACTTTTAAAACAGGATAAAAAATTACTTTAGTATGTTTCTTTTGCCAATGAGGGACTTCATTCTCTCTGCATGTTGGCCCTTTTTTTAGCCCTACTCCCTGCCAGCCTCTGCTTTTGTCAGATTATCCAAATACTAACTTCTCTGCTATTTAAAGTCCTTCACAGTTTGGTTTCAACCTATCTTTCCAGCTTTATCTTTTGCTGTCCTTCACACACATTTCAGTCAGGCTGAACTGGCCTTGCTTTTCCACCCACGTAATACCAATGTTCAGTTTCTGTGCCTCAGCAAATTCTCTCTGTGCCTGGAATGTACCCTTTTCCTCTGCTCTTAAAATCCCTAGTTTTCTTTGAATCTCAGTTCAGGTGCTGCCTGCTATCTGAAGCCATTCTTGATTTCTTTGCGCCTGTGCCACCCCCTCTTCCAATTATGCCCTCCCCCCAGCCAGTGATACCTCTCTCAGCCTGAATTTGTCATGTGTGTATTATACTTACACATTTACATTGTTATTTGTTGTCTTCCCTGATAGAATATAAGCTTATTGAGGGCAGGGATTATTTTCGTTTTTATCTAATTTTCATCTATATTTCTCCAGTGTCTAGCACAGTGCCTGGCACATATAGGTGATTGATTTTTATTTTTTTTTTCTTTTATATTTTTTATGTTTTTTTTTGGTAATGGTAATTTTTATTTATTTTTTTGTTTTCAACATTTACTTCCACAAGATTTTGAGTTCCAAATTTTCACCCCATCTTGCCCCTCCCGCCACCCCAAGATGGCATGCATTCTGAATACCCATTCCCCTAGTCTGCCTTCCTTTCCATCTCTCTCCCCCCTTCTCTTATCCCCTTCCCCTTCAATTTTCCTGTAGGGCAGGATGGATTTCTATACCCCATTTCCTATATTTCTTATTTCCCAGTTACATGTGAAAACATTTTTTTAAACAGGTGTTTTTTAAAACTTTGAGTTCCAAATTTTCTCCCTTCCTCCCTTCCCACCCATCCTCATTGATAAGGCAAGCAACTAAATATAGGTTATACATGTGCAGTTATGCAAAACACTTCCATAGTAGACATGCTGTGAAAAACTAACTCTATTTCCCTTAATCCTATCCCACCCCCCCATTTATTCTATTCTTTCTTTTGACTCTGACCCTCCTCAGAAGTATTTGCTTCTGATTACCCCCTTTCCTAGTCTGCCCTCCTCTCTATCATCCCCCTACTCTCTTGTCCCCTTCCCCCCCTATTTTCCTGTAGGGTAAGACAGATTTCCATACCCAATTGAGTGTGTATGTTATTCCCTCCTTAAGTCAAATTCTATGAGAATAAGATTCACTCATTCCCTCTCACCTTCCCCCATTTCCCTTCCACTGTAAGAGCCTTTTCTTTTCTTTTTTTTTTTGTGAGATAATTTACCCCGTTCTACCTCTCTCCCTTTCTCCTTCTCCCAGTATAATCCTCTCTCACCCCTTAATTTTATTCTCCATCTATGACCCCTTCATCTTCATCTTACCCTGTGCCCTCTGTCTGTCTATCTATCTATCTATATCTATGTATACGTACATATAATTTTTTTCCCCTCCAACTACCCTAATATTGACAGAGGTCTCATGAGTTACAAATATCATCTTTCCATGCAAGAATGTAAACAGTTCAACCTTAATAAGTCTCTTACGATTTTCTCTTTCCTGTTTACCTCTTCATGTTCCGCTTTAGTCTTGTATTGGAAAGTCAAATTTTCTATTCAGCTTTGGTCTTTTCATCAAGAATGCTTGAAAGTCCTCTATTTCACTGAATGACCATTTTTTTCCCCTGCAGGATTATACTCAGTTTTGCTGGGTACGTGATTCTTGGTTGTAATCCTATCTCCTTTGCCCTCCGGAATATTGTATTTCATGCCCTGCAGTCCCTTAATGGAGAAGCAGCTAAATCTTGTGTTATCGGTGATTGATTTTTTTAATGCTCATTTTGTTGTACTAGATGTTTGGAAATCTAATATTGCTAAAGTTACAGGTTTTTCCAGTAGTGTTATTGAATATTTGATTGCTTTACTTGGATATTTATGAATCATTAGATCATAAGAGACTTCTGTACTGTTATTACAGGCTTTATGTAAATTGGAGATTTTTACGAGGAATTGAAGCTCAGTTTCTGGCTCTGCAGAAGGGATTTAATGAAGTAATACCGCAGCCTCTGCTGAAGACATTTGATGAAAAAGAACTAGAGGTTAGTGTGCTAATATTATGTTGTGTTATTAATTGTAATTTGTCTGAGACAAAGTAAATAAAGTAAGTGGACTTTTGCTATCTTGGATACAGTTTCTATTTAGTTTCACTGTTGCAGATTGTCTCTGTCTCTCTCATTCCACGGCATGTACCCCCCCCCCCCCCCCCCCCCAATATTGAGATTTTAAATCATGGAAGTTAGAGTTGAAAAGGGATCATAGTGATCCTTTAGGTTTAGGTCAACCCTGCCTTTTTACAAATGTGAACACTCAAGCTTAGGGGAGGGCGAGTCATTCTCCAGAGTCATAGAACTAAAAATTGCAGAACTAGAATTTGAATCTAGATCCTCTGATTTTAGCTCCAGTCTTTCATCTGTTTGCTGCTACTTGTTATTACTGTATGGCCCAAGGTTATTATCCATTGTAGTGAGAATTCAAGAAAACATGAGTAATTTTAAGTGGTCCTTCATTGACCACCTTCCCTCTGAAAAGTGCAATGTTTGAAGGTAAAGGAATAATGGGATTCAAAGGACAGATTTTGTGTATAAACTGAATGGTGATAATGGAGAACTGATAGTAGTGTCTGTGGATATTTGGGAATTTTCTCTTCACTATGGGAAATTTGTATTTGTCACCAAATTGGAACTTTTTCTACCTTTCGTGATTCAGTTTTACATTGAAATGAGTAGTAAATTTAGCTGTGCAATTGCCACTAAGCTAATAAGTACTTGGTAGGGCTTGGGGGTGGGGAGACTGTCTCTTTCTGTGTCTGTACACTGGAATTATTTTTGCTTTTCTTTTTATTCCCATCGTTAGCTTAGCACCTGGCATAAATGATAAACAATTGTTGAATTGTTGATTCCGTACATACTCTACATAATAATTCTCATTTTGATAGCATTTTGAGGTTTACAAAGTGCTTTCCTCAGAGCAGTCCTACGTTGTTTGTGTCTTTGTACTGTACACAACACAGACCAATTTGGTGAGCTTTGCTGTTTCTGTTCAAGTATAACATTCAGTATGAAGTATTGGTTATATCTTACATCCTACACTAAAAGGATCTTAATCTGTATTATTTCATTTGTAACCCAGTTGTGTAGCAAGGATCTCTGATTTATCACTTAAAAATGGATGAACTGAGGTGACAGCGTTAAGAGATAGTTATAAAAAAAAAAATAGACTCAAGTTCTTTTTATGAAATTTTTGCCCTTTACCTCTTCCCTTATTCTTTTCCACACCAGATTTTGTTAGATCACATTAATTATTTAAGATTTTTAAGTTTGCTAAGTTGTTTCTCTTCCAGTGAAGGGTGACTATTCTAACATATACTGATCTTGTCACTACCGTATATTTTAGCAAGAGTTTTTCGCAGATTGATTCTTATGTGTTATTTTTAGCTCCCTAAGTAGTTTGTAAACTTCTTGAAACTTTATGGTCCATGTGTGCAAGGATTAACCACATTCCCTAAGAGTGCTTGTCGTTAAGCACTACCTGACTGATTGTAAGTTACCTAATACTGTCTTTTTAGCTTTTAAGCATTTTACTTTGATATTAGGGAAATTTATTGAATATGGAATATCTTAGAATTAAATCAATACACTTATGTTGTAGTTCCATTTTTTTACTATGTTACTTTGCAAGTTGCTTCACCTCTTTTGGCTCAATTTCCCTAAATGCAAAATGAGAAGATTAGATTATTTTTAAGGTGCCTTCCTGCTCTGACCTTGTCTGGTTCATTATAGAGCTTCTAGATGTGTCTCTTTTAGCTTTTCCTATCCATTAAAACAAGTATTGCAAATTTTTCTAATATAGAATATTACTAGAAGTTTTCATTATGACTATTACCTGTCCATTTGTGAACAGCTCATCATCTGTGGGCTAGGGAAGATTGATGTTAGTGACTGGAAAGTAAACACGCGGTTGAAACACTGTACCCCAGACAGCAATATTGTGAAATGGTTCTGGAAAGCTGTGGAATATTTTGATGAAGAAAGGAGAGCACGATTACTTCAGTTTGTGACAGGATCTTCCAGAGTGCCTTTGCAGGGATTTAAAGCTTTACAAGGTGAGGAACCCCTGACAATAACTTGAAAGTGTTTTCATGGATGTGGAAACTTTACAATGAATTAACGGTATGAGTGTGGATTCTCTTCCCTCATATTGTTCTTTGTCAATAATTCAGTAGTTTTCGTTATCACCTTGCTTATCTTTGACTCTTCAAATGTCTTAGTCCCACCCCCAACTTACCTGCAAATTAAAAAGATCAGTCTGTAACCATCAGTGCCATCTACAGTTTTTTACACTGAATGTATGGGGAAAATTATTCTTTGACTTTTAGCTACAACTACTGTCTATAGAGCTTACCATTTTTCTGCTACTTCTTAGATTATGTCATGCAAGAGGAATTCAAACAGAAATAACATTTGTCCTCCGTGTACTTTTCTGGATTGTGTACCTATGCTTAGTTCACGGTGTAAATGAATCTAGATCCATATTTTGCCTTGTGCTGTCTGCTTGCTCATATTAAATAGCATGAATGCAAACATTGACCTAATTCATTAGCTCTCTTTGTAATCATTGCCTTCTTGAATTCCTAACAACTATCTGAATCCAAAATTTATATTATTTTTCTTGGATTGGCTAATTTGTTTACAGGGTTGTGTTGGGACGGGGCGTGTGGTTATATTATAAAAGGTTTATTTTGAATAGAAAATAAAAGTTAGCAGTGGGTTTTCAATTACAAATTTTCTTCAGAAATGTTTTACTAGAAAAGGATGCCTCGATGTATAGTATGTTAAGAATAGATCTTTTTTCCTCCAAAGTTTGTTATCTGTTTTCAAATACCATATTGCTTCCCTTTGACCATTATGAGCTTGTACAGAGTTACAGCATTCTCTTTCTGGAGGACTATGCCTATAATAATTTCATTTTAAGTCTCGTCATTAGTTTAATGTACTTCCTGTGACTTTTTCACTTTGACTTCATTTACAGGTGCTGCAGGCCCAAGACTATTTACAATACACCAGATTGATGCTAGCACTAACAACCTGCCAAAAGCTCATACTTGGTAGGTTACTTTTTTTTCAATTTAATGTAGAAAAACAGAGAATGGAACAGATTTTTTTCCCCTTTAACTTATCACATTTAGACTGAATTGATTGAGAAAGGATTTATGTCTGTTACCAGCAGACAGGCTTTAAATGGCTTGTTTTTTTTCTCACAAGGTTCTAATGTAAATTTCAGTCTTCCTTCCATATTTTCATAGTTAGACTGTATTAAGATAGGACTAAAAGCCAACCCTTTAGCAGGAGAGGAATTTTTAAAAGTCTTGCTTTCATCAGGAGGTTACACTTTACAGTAATTCAGCATCTTCTCAAGATAGGTGCAAAGAAATCATAAATGATCATCCATTGGGTATAATTTCTATTTTGGAGGAGTATTGATTTAATTATCTGTCTGTGATTAGACCTAAACAAAAAATGCATAAGAAACTTAGTCTAGAGTTTAAACTTTGTTAACAAATACATTTAGTAGCAGTGTATAAATTTCATATAATCTTCTTATTTACTTGTTCACAGTTTCAATCGAATAGACATTCCACCCTATGAAAGCTATGAGAAGCTTTATGAGAAGCTGTTAACAGCCATTGAAGAAACATGTGGATTTGCTGTGGAATGACAAACTTTGCCAACTTCTTGGAACTCCATTTATATATGCTTGATTGATAGCACCCCCAATCCCCCCAACCAAGATTCAAGAAATGCTTGAAGTACAGGAACACTTTTTCCTTTTTCTACTTTAGGACATCATAAGGGGGAAGGGTGGTTTTGGAATTTCCTTTCTGAGAAAAAAAAAATGGCCTTTCCCATGGGGCCACTCCGCTGCTATTTAAAATTATTATCTTGAACCTACAGAATGCTGACTTTTCCTATGTTTTCAAAGTATGGCAGTATTCTACCCTTAAAGACTACTATTATTTTTATAAAAGGTAATCTATTTTGTTTACCTATCAGAACTTGCCTTTCTAAAACATCAAGACACAATTTCAGCAGGCGGTACAAGTAACATTTCAGCTTCACTGAACACATACCAAACAGCTACTATACATGCTCTTTTTAAAAAGAAAAATAAAGTTATTTTTGGATTACTCTAATTTTGGATAAATTTGGCTAAAAGAATCATTAACCTTTTAAGCAAGCCACTTACATATTTAATTGCATTTTCTTATAGTAAAGCATTATATTCTGCATTATATATTGAATATAATTGTTCACTAGGTGGGTCTTTTTAAATATTTTTTCAAGCATGAATTTCCTGGAAAACAATTATACTATTTTGGTTTTTATTTATATCACTTGTCAGATTTTTAATGCAACTACTGTTTTAGTAAGTTTATCATTGGACACAATACTTTGTGTTCATGGTGTTCCTGTTTTTTAAAAAACTTTTTAAAAAGACTTTTATAATGATTCACCGTTATCAAGTATTTTGGATTTGCATTTCATCTTAAATGAAAATGCTGCATTTTTTAACTCCTAAAAGCATGTTGGTGGGATATGTTCAGTCTTATTTTTAGATATACTGTTTTTAAGAACCAAAGTTCCTTATGTCAAAGTACATCTAGTTGTTACATATTAGTTGATGTATCAAGAATTCTATCAGGTAAACCATATTTAACCTTTGTTTAGCTGCTCATGATATGGAGGTCTACCCAATTATGACAAAGGGAAAATTAGTTCTAAAGGTAACTTTTAGTTCTACTTTTATATAACATAGTAGGTAAGGTGTGTATATTGAAAGTGAGGTCAAGAAAGCTTAGGTTCCCCAAAATGAAAAAGGTGAGTAAATTTATACATAAATGTAGAAACATACATGAATTTAAATAGGGGGAAATGTACTATAAATTAAGAAGTTAATTTTAAAAGCAAATTGGTAATTCTATTGGCCAGTACTGGGTACTGAAAAATTGGTATATATTGTGAAGCATATAGACTTGGATCTGTGCGGTGTTTGGCATGCTTCTTGAGAACCCTGGTCAGCAGGAAGTAGTGGAAATATTGGTGTAAAGAATTAGAAAAATATGAAGTCATGGTTGGGTTTCTTCCTTTAGTCATCAGAAATATCCACTCATGCATATGAGAAATTGTCAACAATAACAATTTTTGATGAATCAAAATTATGGTTTTTAATTTTTTTTTTTTTGCAAATGAACAGGCTAACTGTATTGTAATATAGTGTCAAAATTTTATTCTGCCAAATTTGACTGCTACTGCAAGCAGTCTAGTTATAGTTACTCATTTCTCAAAGATAAGATCACTGCATGGCCTAATAGTTAATATTTTGTGAAGCAGTATTAATGAGATTTTATTTTTCCACTGTTAATGGACATACTACATTTGAACTTCTTGAGATGTGCACAAACTGCATTTCTTTGCTCTTGATCAACTAATAGTTTTAAGTTTCACAGTATGCATTTCATTAGTGTAGGTCCATTGATCTTCTATATTAGGCACTAGGGTAGTTTTCGTTTGTACACAGTCTTCAGAAAATTTTCCAAAACTAAGGAATGGTTGTGGAAACCAGAACTGTCAGGGATGCAGTACAGTAACAATGAAACATTTCTAGGAATTACTTTAATTTATAATATGGAGCAGGAATATACCAACACTTTTGAGTGCCTTTTTGCCTTTAATAATAAGGACTTCTTGAATAGAGCTTTAAGACAAATCACCCTACAGTACTAGTCAAAGGAATATATACATACTTCTTTGTAATTCACAGGAATATATTGACCCATCAGATTTCAGTTTCAAAATCATGTCAGCTGGTTACTTTCAAATAGGTGCTAAAAACAAAAAAAGAAAAAAAACTTCATGTTTTATTGAACTTTGGACCCCATGAGTAATGTGAATATTTATATCCATGTGTCACTCTTAGCAAGTTTTCCTTTTATCCATTCTTTATTTGCATTAAGCTTCAGAAATGTCATTATGTTTTCATGCTTTTCATTATGAAGCAATGATTATTTTGTAGCTCTCCTATAGTAGAGACAAGTTTCAGAGGATTTTATTTCTTGATGTAAAGAATTTTGTAACAGTGCTGTGTACAGTGTAAATTCAAAAACAAAATTTTTTTGCACATAGTTTCAGTTGCCCTAGATTGATTTATTTTTACCAAATGTTTTTGTTGTTGTTTACTACAGTCCAGAGCACACAAGGCTTCTGTTGAAATCCCTTTTTTATTTGTAAATCATTTTTGTTTTACAACACTAAATCCATTTTGAACATCTGTTGTGTATAAACTGACATTAAATGAAGAGATTTTTGTTTCTTCATCAAAATGTGTGCCTCTTCCATCAATCATGCTTACTTTAGCAGCTATCTCTACTTTAAACTTTAAACTGCATCATAAAGCAATCAGATACCATTTTTAATATTTTAAATACTATATTAGGATGATGACTCTACCAAATGCTAAGAGTTTTGTTTTGTCTCTAGGTGTAATTAGTTTAACTGGTGTAATATTATCCTCTCCTCTAAACTGACTTTTTAAAGGTTTATCATTTCCATTGTATTTATTAAAGAGTGTTTTAGCATTGATATTCTTTGTATTTTCACCCAGCTGTTACATGAGCTTATCAATAACATCTGTATAAATGGTTTAATTTTTTTTTTAAACTCTGTATGTGCCCATGCGGAACTTGAGTAATAAATTGTATGCTGTTTGCACCATCACAGCATCAGTGGTTTAAGAGAACATTGTGAGTTTTCAGTGCATTGAGACTTTTAAAAAAGCTTTATCCTAATTTCATAATTTACCTTTCATGTACACTTCCAAACATATGATCCATAAAGTAAGGGCATGAAAGAGAATACAAATGCTTTTTTATTTGTATGTATCTTAGAATTTTTATGTATTCTGCAAAGTCCTGTCTAATTTAGTTTGGAAGCCAATAACAGTGAATACTGTATTCCATAGATTACATGAAGTTCCAGTTGCCTTATCTTTGAACATATTGGTAGAACCACTCCAAAGGGTCATATTCCCTGGAAATCTGTGTTACAGTGAACTTTGGAGCTAGCTTGTTTTGAATTACTTTATGAAAGATAACCACTTCTGCTGCCTGAGCTAACATAACGCTCTGGACAATTTTAATAGGACAACTTAAAGTAAAACATGTTGAACTTTATTCAGTGTTTGAAGCAGTTGATTATAAGCTTTTTTTAAAAAAAATTAAGTGTTTTAAATATGTGGCCTATTGATTTAGGATTTTACTTCTTTTTAATCAGAAACGTGTGGTTGTAATGATTTTTTTATAATAACAGTAGACATGAAGATCATGTATATAGAAAAGTGATAGACAACGGTAGCCAAGATTTTAAAGTTGGAGTATTTTTCTAGGTAGTAAGGAAACTGCTTAGATCATTTTCAGTAATGTAGATAATAATATATCCATGTCTACCTGTCTTGTATGACTCTTATTTATGTCTTTCCAAAAATTTATCACACATGGTCTACCCAACTTTCTAGAATGCCTTCCTTGCTTTCAGAATGATACTGCATTTGCAACTCTGTGTGACTGAAAGAATCATGGTGTCCTTGACAGGAATAGGGAAGTTTGGAAGTGAGGAGCTTTAATGATGAGTTCTGTTTTAAATTTGTTGAATTTGAGATGCCTATGGGACATCTAATTTTAGATGTCTGAAAGGTATGGTGATAGCTTAGGAAAGACTTGGGGTAGATCTACCTGCATAGATAAATATGGGATTGAATGAGAGAGTGGAACTTGATGAAATCACCAGCAAAAAGAAAAGAGAGTTCTAGATAGAACGTTGGGGGTCTACCCATCGTTAGTGTATAAAATCTGGATGAAGAATCGGCCAAGGAGCCTAAGAAACTGTTCAGACAGGTATCAGGTGTGTCACAAAAACCTCAAAAGGAGACAGTATCCCAAAGGAGGTGACCAACAGTATCAAATACTTTAGACAAGATTCTTTGAACTAGAATGAAAACTGAGAAAAGACCATTAGATTTTGCAATTGAGAGCATTGGTAACTTTGGAGAGAACAGTTTTAGTTGAATGCTGAGGTCAGAAGGTTTAGAAGAGAGTGAGAGAAGAGGAAATAGAGTCACTAGTGTAGACTAAGGAGTTTTAGCAAAAGAAGGGATGGTAGGATGAAGTGAGGGACTTTTTTGGGGGGGAGGTTCTTTTATTTTAATATTTTCTTTTCCCCAATTACATGTAAAAACAATTTTTAACATTTGTTTAAAAAATTTTTTTGAGTTTCAAATTGTCTCCCTCCTCCCCATTTCCCCCTTATTGAGAAGGCAAGCAATTTTATATAGGTTATGCATGTGCAGTTATACAAAACACGTTTCCATTTTAGTCATGTTGTGAAAGAAAACACAGACAAAAGAAAAAAAAAACAAAAGTAAAGAAAAAGTATACTTCAGTCAGCATTCAGACTCCATCAGTTCTTTCTCTGGGTATGGATAGCATTTTTCATCATAAGTCCTTCAGAATTGTCTTAAATAATTGTGTTGCTGAGAATAGCTAAGTCATTCACAATTGATCATATATAATGTTGTTACTATATACAATGTTTTCCTGGTTCTGTTCACTTTATTTTGCATCAGTTCATGTAAGTCTTCCCAGATTTTTCTGAGAGCATCCTGCTCGTTATTCCTCATAGTACAATAGTATTCAATCACAATCATATACAACAACTTCTTCAACCATTCCCCAGTTGATGAACATTCTCAAGTGAGGGACTTTTAAAGATGGAGGAGACATAAGCATGGCTGAAGGCTACAGGGAAGGAAACAGTAGATATGGAGAGACTGAAGGTGACAGAGGGAATGATGGTAGCAATCTGGAGAAGATGGGACAGGATCAGAAGTGGAAGTAGAGGGATTGGCCTTGGCAAGGAAAAGGACCTCCACATCAGAAACTGAAGTGAAAGAGAATTCAGGAAGATGTCTCAGGTGAAAGGGGGAGTAAGGGGAGCCTTTGGTGAAATATGATGGGGGAGGTCTCAGCTAAGAATGTGAGATTTAAGGAAAGATTATTTGGACAGCCTTTATTCAGAGTGAGTTAGTGAATGAATTAGGGAAGAAGTTGATTGTCTTACTGTGGTAAAAACCCACTGGGGATTAGATTATATACATTTATAATATACTAAGTCAATATGGCTATATGATTTCTCTCTCACGAATTATGCATCTTTTCCTGCTTTGTGTTGAAGTCACCACATTTGGACAGCCTTATGACCTTAGTAGAATTTCTGTACTACTTTGTCCCTATCAACTGATGTCGGTGTGCAAGATGCAGTTATTTTCATGATGGTTTTTTTTTTTGCAAATACTTAATCATTAGGATTGCAATATATGATGACCAAATGCTCCATGAAATAGATTTTGGGAGAGGGCATACCTTTTGGGCATTAGGAATAAAAAGCCATTCTGCCAGCTTTCTTTGCCTCTTAAAGGAGTATCTATGAGTTTTCCTTCCATTTAGCTGCAACCCTTGTGTGTATATATGGACAACAATTATTGACTGTACCAGAAGGGTCCCAGCTGTGGTTGTGATGTTCTTGGTGCTGCCCTGTGGCATCTTCAGCACTTTGTAGAAAGAGATCCACAGTGAACTGCAAAGATTTGACATGAACCACCATGTCAAGCACTGTTGAGACTTGATCTTTCCAAAAAAAGTATGTGGGGAGGAAAAAAACTAGGATTGCTGGCTTTTTTTCTTTCCTCTTCAGTACTGCCCATGCCAGGAAGGCCTTTAAGCATTTAAATGGTGGAAGATTCTCTGGAAGACCCTTAGGACCTTGACACCAAGGGTTGATGATAGGACTAATATTTACCAGTGTTTCCCTGATATACTTCCTTTCTCCTTATCCATAACACAAGGAGGCTTAATCTTTTGTAGGCCTCCTTGAGTAGGTAGGTGGCACAGTGGACAGAATGCTGGGCCCGGAATCAAGAAGACCTTAATTCAAATCTGGCCTCAGATATGTATAGCTGTGTGACCCTGGACCAGTCACTCTACCTCAATTTCCTCTGTGAGGATCAAATTAGATGTTAGCAGCTCCTGAAACATGGTAAGAGCTTAAGAAATATTTGTTCCCTCCCTTACCTCCTCCTTCCCTAATATTTAGAGATTAGTTTTTCCTAAAACGACAAAGCTGATGGAACCAGTTTGGCCCCAACTTCCTAGTGACCTAAAGGCATTAAAAGTCCCAGCCACAGACCAGTCACGATATCCTTCACCAGATCATGCCTTGATGACCACACATTCATATGGAGACGAGGAGGGATGTGTCCAGAGAACCTATGTATCACCACATCTTTACTGTATTAGGGCAAAGTACATCTCCTTTTGTTAACTTTTCAGCGATTCGTGGGTTCCTCATTCCATCCCAACATCAAACCTGAAGAGAGTATTGGCATTTGAGCTGCCACCAACTATATCACTTTCCATCAGAAACCTGGTCATTTTTCTATTTGCCCTGCCTTTCTCCTTCTACTTCTTACCCAGGAATCAAATCGGTACTACTGTATTTTGGAAAGGGCATGTCAATTAACCACCCTATAAGTCAACTCATTACCCCTGTGGTTCCTTTCCCTATTTCTTTCCCTGGCTAAAACATACGCACATACGTGTGTGTGTGTGTGTGTGTGTGTGAGAGAGAGAGAGATCTCCCTATCAGAATGTAAACTCTCTATTTTTTTAATTTTTTTTTTTAATTTTTAGGCAATTGGGGTTAAGTGACTTGCCCAGGGTCACATAAATAATAAGTGTCAAGTGTTTGGTGTGAGGCCGGATTTGAACTCGGGTCCTCCTGACTTCAGGGCCGGTGCTCTAGCCACTGCGCCACTTAACTGCCCCCTAGAATGTAAATCTTTTAGGGCAGGGACTTTTGTATTTGTATCTACAACATTTTGTGCCAGGCACATGGAAATCACTTAAATGCTTTTTCATTTCACTTATTCATGAAGGCTATTGTACTACTCTGAATATTTGAATTACTTAAAATTGCAGTCAAAGAATGAAATCTAAGTTGACAGATCTATACTGTAATAAAAATGGAAATAATTTTTTGGAAAAAAGTAAATGCTTTAAAATAGTAATTTGTCTGTAAGGGCAGCGTACATAATGAGCAGAGCTGGCCACAAAGCCATTTAAACCTGCATTCAAATCCCACCTCTAACACATAGTGGCTCAATGACCCTGGGCAAGCCACAACTGCTAAGTGAACTAAGTGAAATGCCAACTCCCATTGTCAGAGCGAGTTCCTCATATTGTCTCTACTTCAGAAATTACAGATCCAGTCCCTATCCTTAATAAATGAGAATTCAGTGACTGTCAGTGTGTTTAACTCATTCCTGAAATGCATCTGTATAACATTTTCTGAACTTTCAATTTCTACTAAGTCATCTTCATTTCTATAGGTTATTCATATAGGAGTATAGGGCAAATATTTGAAAAATCTCTTAGATGTAGGAAGGATTGACATTGGGATCATACTAATTTCAACTAATTTATTTCTATTTTTGGCAGCAAGGTGGTACAATGCATAGAGTGCCAGGCCTGAGGTCAGGAAGACTTATCTTCCTACTGGCTGTGTGACCCTGGGCAAGTCACTTAACCCGGTTTGCCTCAGTTTTGTCATCTGTAAAATGAGCTGGAGAGGGAAGTGGCAAACTGCTCTGGTATCCTTGCCAAGAAAACCCCAACTTGGATCATGAAG